GTTTGCTCGTTTTAGTCCACCCCATCTCCATCCAGACACGCGGATGAATGGAGTTAGTGCTGGAAGCAGCACAGACACCGGGAATCTCTGCTCTGTCCCTGTGAGATTCTGGTGCTCTTGTGTTTGTGCCCAATTCTCCCTGGCATCCCATGATGGGATGTGTGGGAGCGCTTCAAAGCTGCACTAGGGAAGGTGTAGGCTGGACATTAGGAAGGATTTCTTTACTGAGAGAGTGGTCAAACACTGGAACAGGCTTTTGAGAGACGTGGTCGATTCCCCCTCCCTGTCAGTGCTTAAGAAGTATTTGGACAATGACCTTAATTAAATTTTTGGTCAACTCTGAAGTGGTCAAGCAGTGGGACTAGATAATCATTGCAGATCCTTTTCAACTGAAAATATTCTGTTCTATTCTATTCTCTTCCATTCCATTCCAACTGTAAGGCTTTTCACTATCCCAGAGAAAAGCAGTGGGACAGGCAGGGCTTGCACAGGTCACAGAGATCTGAGTGTTTTAACTGAGTCAGAATTCACTTTTCAGCATGCTGGAAGGAGTCACCCACACTTGCCTCTTCCATAAAACAACTCCCTTTGCCCTTTGGTTGGCAAATCAAAAACCGAGGCAAAACCAAAGCCAAACACCTTTCTCTGCAAGCTCAGCTGCTATTTGGGCCCGGGGGACTGGTGCTGGAGGAGCAGAGCATGTGTCATAAGGAGCTGAAGATGTCAAGAAGAGCTTTGAGAGCCTGCCCCTGAGCGATTATTCACAGATCTTTATCCCTCTCTGAACTTTCAGGGCCACTAAAGGCTCACCTGGAACATAGGAAATGACTTAGCAAGTTATTTCTGCCCTCAGGGAAGTTCAAGGGGAGGGGAGCTGTGCCACACAACAGGAATCCTGCAGCATGGAGGATGGGAGTTGATTCATTTGTTTCTATGCCTCTGGCTCCTCTCCTGCACCACAGACCCCATTCAGCAGCCACTCAACCACAAGTCCAGGTAGGAGCTCAGCCCTGCTGAGGAGGCATCATGTTTTGACCAGTAGAACTTGCCAAGCATGAGGCAAAGCTTCCCAACAATGACCAAGGCCTGGAGGATGTGTCCTGCAGTGAGAATTTCATGGAGTCCAGCCTACTTGATGCAGCAGAGGTTAAGAAGGATCTTGGTCATATGTCTATAAATGCTCCTCTAGATGCTGTGAGACACTTTAGTCCATCAGACAGGGATAGAAAAACAGCTGAAGGCTGGAAGGTGAAACACCACTAACGAAACAGAAGTGAAATGATGAGCATGTGTGAGGGAAGAGGGTTTGATTTTGCTCAGAGCAATGGAGAGACAGCAAAAGAACGGAAAAAAAAATAGCACAAAAGGCAGGAAAATCCCCAGAATTTCAGACCAGTTATTCATTCATCATAAAACCCTTCCAGCCGTGGACCCCCCTACTTTATCAAGAAGCAAATACTTTATTTTGGGGGAGCCATTTAGCCCTGTTTTGCAGCAAACACCTTGGATCGCTCCAAGGCGGGGATATGAAGAGTAGAGGGACCAGACCATGCTGATTATCTCTCTGGGCCACCAAAATGTGACAGCACTGCAAGGGCCTTCCAGGAACAGATTATGTGGCGACAAGACTAATTAGACATTCATTAAGTGCCTAACTCAGCACAGCACTTAAGCACACATTTAACCTTCTCTCATTACAGGGTCTCATCACCATCCCTGTTAAAGCTCCAGCTCCGATTACAGCAAAGCCAGCTCACATTCGGCAGGGTCACCGGGACTTTCAGACCACGAAGTCCCAATCCTAAGCATTTCAGGAGCTTTTCCTTCCTTCAGTCCCCTGGTCTCCTACCCCAAAGCTATTCCAGCAAAGCCAACTTGCACTCCAAAAAGTGAGTTCACATCTAAACATCGGGACCTACGAACAGTCTCTGCCTCCTTCCCCATGTTGCCTGAGCGAGACAAGGGAAAGCTGATGCTGGCCAAAAATAGTTCCCCTGTTGAATTGTCTTCTCCTAGAAAACATCCCCTGTTGAAGCCTTCTTGGAGGCAGCTTCCCCAAGGAGAGAAGATGTGAGGGATGGGCTACTGGTGCAAATACATTTCCAAGTATGTTCCGCTGATCACCAGGGCAAGCTCCGTGTGCAACAAAACATCTCCTGCCACCTCTGCACCCTGAGGAATTCTTCTCAAACCCACTGCTCCCTGCTGTGACCTCTTCAACATCTGTGTGGGACAGTGAGAGCAAAGAGGGTCCCACCAAACCCAGGAAGAAAATTTGGAGCAGTCCTACCTCCAGGCATAGAAGAACAGATGCTGCAAATATGACAGGGTCACTTTGGCAGAGTTTCTTTCTGAAGTCCCTCATAAATGACCACAAAGATCCATGTGAACCTGAACCCGGTGTGAATCATTGCCCATGACTGAAAACAGACTGGTTTTTGAGTGTCCCAGTAGCTCTGGAGCAACAGGGTCCACTTGGAGCGAAGCTTTTCGCAGGGATCTCACCCTCAGACTGTGACCCAAACCATGGCTGTGCCCAAGGCAACATCCCATTGCAGATTTGCACCCGTTCCATTTGCTTTGGAAATATCCAAGGAATAAAAAGGCACATTAGGAAAAGTCAGGCTTCACATTTCAGCGTGGTATCTGTGGGAATTCACAGAATCAGGGTTTGGGTTGGAAGAGACCTTAAAGATCACCCGGTTCCAACCCCCATGCCATGGACAGGGACACCTTCCACATTCCTTATGTGCCTTCAAAGTCATCAGAGTAGATTAGCACATCACACACATCTACACTTGTTCAAAGATGAAAGCGTCAAGACAGGCCCAGAAACAACAAATGACTCAGAAAGCAGCAGGGAGGGGAAAAAAAAAAAGAAATAATAATAAACGCTTGTTGGGGAAAAAAAATGCTACAAATACAATCAGAACAGCAATGACTGCAATAACCAGCATCAGCACTTGGAAATCAGGAACCCTATCAAAATATTCCACCCACCAAGTGCTGTTAAGGGATTGCTGACTCCCTGTCCAAATTGGATCTCGCCTCCATCTTCCTGATCAAGCCTTTGCATAAATCAAAACAGACACAGTGACAGACAGAGCAGCACATGGAGAGGCCTGGCCCCCTGCAAGCATCATCTCTGTGGGGATGGCATCCCACCAGTGGAGATGATAATCCTGTGTCTTCAATATGGAGCAGATGTGAGCAGCCAGCAAAAAAAAAATATATCTCCACTCCACAAATATTTGACACCCAAAAAGGATTTTGATTCAGCCACCTCTGAGCCTCTTTCATATTTACTTGCTGGGAACATTCAGGCACTCAAGCTGGGCTAGGAGACATCCTTACAAAAAGCCAATATTAAGCTTGAATGCTTCAGGATTTGCCGGAAATCTTATTTCAAATTTCACCTTTGGTTGAAGTGAGAAAGGTCACACTGCTGGGGTGGAATGCATAAATCACCCAATCAGCAAACCCAGGGCAGGACATCTGACTGAACAGGGCTCTCATCACTCCTGAGGAGGAAGCAGAGGTTCTCCTCCTCACAGGCTGCTCACACAGGAGAAAAGGGCATTGTGAAAGGAAACAAAAAAAACAAAACAAATAAACCCCCAAAATCTGGAGAGCCGCGCAGGGGAGGGAGGCAGGGCTGAAGAACTAATTTACAGGATTTATGGCTCGGCCGTTTGCCTCCATGTATTGATTCACAGATCAGTGAGAAACAAAACCTCCCCCAGAACACCCTGAGGGAAGCATAAGTACCTGATCACACACTAATCTCTCTGCTAACGCCAGGCTGCAGTTCTGCAGGAGAATCACACTGCACGGCTTGGACCTGTGCCTGGCCACCTCCTTCCTACTGCAAAGGAAATTTAGCCTCTTCCCCTCAACCCTGAGAAATTCCACCCTAAACAGGGGCTGCTGCAAAAGTCAGGCAAGAGCCCCGAATTCCAGACCTGAGCAGATGTCAACTTTCTACTGGTGGCAGAGGGCGTTTCAGTCCAACACCTGAAGGAGACGAGACCTTGGGGTGAGGGCCAGGTGAGGGCTTGAACCTTGCTGAGTTGGAGGTTCCATTCCCTGCCACCCGAATTCCTATTTAGCATTACACCTTTCCTTTACATAACCTGTGTGCTGGCAGGTGGGGTGGGAGCTGAGAACAAACACATCGAGGCAGATCTGACACAGGTACTGAACAAAAAGCTTTGCTTTTGGCCCCCCTGAATATCTTCTGCTTTTTCATGGCTCTGTCAGAGGTCTGGAAGGAGCATTTCCCTCTCCAGACCAATGCCTAGATCAGACTTCAGGATCACCCCACCTTTATTTACAGCCCTTTTTTGTCATGCCTCTTCCACCTCCCCCTTTCCAGCCCATACCATACTCAAGATCACTGATGGAACACTAATGAAATATCCAAGGAACGAGCCCCAGCAAAGGCATCAAGTAACCCCACAGAAGCATCGTGATGAGTTTTCTTTCTGAAAGCCTCCAGAAGGAAAATGAGGCAGCTCATTTTCCTCCACAAGGAAAACGAAGCTGGGAACGAAACGAGTGTGCCTTCTGTTGCCATTCCCTTGAACCAGACCCAAGTATTAATTTTTCCCTAGAAATTAAAATGGGTTGATGGGGCTGCTGAGTGCAGCCTGCCTCGGGAGGGAGCTTGGATCCTGCCTTTTCTAGGACATCTGTAATTACGTTGGAAAACTGCTCACCCTCAGGTGAGAAGCTCAGAGGCTGCAGGAGTAATACAAGCAATGCACGAGCCCCGGGAATGAATGAAACAATCTGGGGTATGTTTAGGGGAAGCTGTTTTGTAATTTCAGTCTCAGGCTCCTAAAGAGGGTTACCTGACCTGCCTGTCAATTAGGAAATTAGGTTTTCATGCCAGGCATCCACAGATACAGACACAGAGGTGATGGGGACAGTGTGAGACCCGTGAGAGCAGAGCCCAACCATCCATCCGTCCCCAACACCCCCAGCCACCCTCCACTCACCCAGGAACTCCGCTCCGTTGGTGTCCTTAGGGCTGCTCACGCAATTCTCCAAGTAAATCCCATCCTTATAGCAATCCTCCTTCTTCCTGGTGAACCCCAGGACCTCGCTGGCCTGATCCAGGACCTCCCCTCCCGAGCAGGAGCACGGGGTCTGCATGATGCCGCAGGGGTGGGAGCTGCTGCTGATGGCCAGGCAGGCGTCCAGCCACTTGCAGAGCATCTGGCAGGCGGCTTTGCTGGGGTTCCTGTTGCCCACCACCAGGTATTCCACCGAGAAGTCCCTCTCCTGAGCTTTGGTGGGCTTCCACCTCATGGGCCAGGTGTCCACCCCCGGAGGGGCCGTCTGCTTCATCTGCAGGAACTGCTTGTTGGACTGGAGGAAGGCAAAGCGTGTGGAGCCATCACAGAGCTTCAACACATCGTCGAAGCTCTCCATGCCCAGGTAGGTGCGGGTGGACTCCAGGAAGGAGTCGAACTGGTAGGTGCGGATGTGCTGGTGGTCACATACACCGGCGGGCTTGAGGATCTTCATGTACAAAGTGTACCTGCGGGGGTCGGGGTTCTGGATAATCCAAGAGCAGAGGGAGGAGTTCAACGGGAAGACGGCGAAGGAGGAGAAATACCCAAAGAATTTCCCTTGGACCAAAGTGGTGCAGGGAGTTTGTGCCAGGTCCAGAGCGACCACGGTCCACACAAAGTAGAGTGGAGATACCAAAAGCAGGTTCAGGGCAGATCCAATGCTCCTCATCCTAGGTCTCTGGTCCTCTGGAACTCAAAGTAAATGTCAAGCAGGCGCCAGATCCTGGACATAACAGGGACCAGCTTATAGGAAAAGCGCGAGTTTAAGAGGCTCTGGATCCGAAATCAAGCCAATCCTCCCATATCTGGATTTGAGCTCCCTCCTGTGGCCATAAAGAACACCTGGAAAAAAAAACAAAGCAGGGAAGGGAAGGAGGAGAGGAGAGAAAAAGAAGAGATTTGGGATTTGGGGTTTTTGGTAGTGGTTTGTTGTTGTCGTTTTTATTAACCCTTCACAAGGCTGAGAATCCACGCAGCATCCCCAATCCCAGCACATCTCACTGGGAGAAGGTGCAGTCCCACATCACCATCCCCATGCTAAGTTTGGGGGTGTCCCCATCCCTGGGATGTCCCAAGCCCTGGGAGGGGGGGACAGTGACTGGTGCTGGGGATAAACATATCTGTGCCCTGATTCCCCAGTGCCCTCTGCCTGTGCAGATCCCTCTGCTGAACCAAGCAGAGCCTTTGCAGTGAATTTTAACCATCCCCCCAAAGAAAACACCGTTGACCTCTGGTTTAGGGACTTTCCAGCCCTCTTCATCCCACCAGAAGCCAGTTTAAGGCAGACTTCAGGCTGCACCTGGGGAGGGTGGGCTCAGCACGGGAAGCTGGGCTCTGCCTCCTCCCTTCATCTCTCCAGCACTTGCTTTTTAGTTTCTTTTTCTATCACCTTTTCTCTGTCCGTTCCACCAAACCAGTGCAGGGAAGGGAGTTGTTGTTTCGTAACCCAGCCCTGCTCTAACCCTGAGGCCATACAGGAGGCTGGAAGGAGCTGTGCACCCAGTACAAGGAAAAAAGAGCAATAGAGGCAGATTTTAGGTCTTCCCACATCAGGCAGATGCCTCACCTTTCGCCTCTGTGTACAGGACACCCCAAAACCTGTGGTACTGTACTCAGGCTCGGAGCATCTGCAGAGAGTGAAAGTCCTCCCTGCTAGCCCTGGACCTCCTTCAGTCCCCAGATCCCTGGAGCAAAAGTAAAATCCATCCTCCACTGACCTGTGAGACTCAATCCCTGCAACCCTTTGCAGCCAAGATCCCCTTTTTAACTCAACTGCCCAGACCCCTGTGTCCCTCTTCATGAGAAAGAGGCTCCTCCACCCTCTGTAAGCCTCATTCTTTCTTACCCCAACAAGAAAACCCTCCAACGGCTCCTTCCCTTCATCTCCCCTCTTTCCAGGAGAGAACACAGAAGGGTACTGAAGAAAGAAGCAGGACTGTCCTCATTTTGTACCCCCTCCCCATGCAGTGACCCCCCACAAGTTTGGGGAGGGGGCCTGTTAAAAGCTTCAGGGATTGACAGGCAGGAGGGGCAGATCCTCAGTGTGTGGGGCAGGACTTCCCCCACTGCTGGACACGCAGCCATGGTACCTTTTCCTTCCACCTTCCCAGCCTTTTGCTTTCCTGCCCTCTTGGCTCACCCCAGGTGGAGAAAATCAGGAGTTTCCCCTTTGGGTGATGCTTGCCCTGACCCTGCAGCACTTGCTGCCTCCAAAACAGACCTGCTGCCCAATTTCAAACAGATAAATGGGACCTCTGGGAGGAAAGTTTTCCCTGCCAAGTCAGACAACTGTCATGGTTTCAGGAGGCTCCGTGGTCCACAGGTTAGGGAAAAGCAAGTACTCAGGGGCTCTGAGTTGAAACCTGAGAGCAAACAGCCCCATTCCTGAAATGCAAACACTGTCCTGGGCTGCAACCCCAAAATAATTCAGATCATCTGGGATGTGTTTCTCCATGATCAGGGACCGTGGTGGCACTACCAGGAAGGAATTAGGGTGAAAGCCTATGGAGAGGGGAACCTGCACCAAGGGAGGAGGGAAAACACACCTTGATCCACCTCACAGCCCCACAGTGTCCACACCACCCTTCCCCAATCCTACCATCTCCCATCCCACACCAGGCTCTGCCTCCCCAGACTGCAAACAGAGGAAGCTTTCACAGCAACCATACAAATTTCCAGCAAATCTACAACTCAGGCAGAGCTAAATCCAGTCCCAGGAGAGACTGAAAAATAAGAAATGAGAAGCCCACAGACCATCTTGTGCATCTAGGAAGAGATAAGAAGCCAAATGCATTGCCGTGTTCACCCCTTGGTTTCTCTCCTCGCTCTGTATCAAAGATTTGTCTGTGTATCTCCCCTCATCTTCAAGAAAGTGCTTTTATTTTGGGAAGGAAAGGGTTAGGTAACTCGAAAGTCAGATCTGCTATTTGCAAACTGTGTTTCATCCCAGCTTCAAATCACTGCAGCCTCTGCCAGCAGATTCCTGAGTGTGTGTTAGACCTGACACTAATCAGCATGGAGTCCAAATGCATTTGCACTTAAATTTTTTACAAGTCAGATCCCCACTCCTGACTGGTTTGCAGCCTACAAAGCTCCACAGTGTAAATCTCCCCTTGCCAGACTCCTGCCTGCCTCCAGGACCAGATTTCAGGATGAAAAGTGGATGCAAAGCTGGTCTTGCTTGCAGTGAAAACAACAGGCATCAACCACACATCCTACAAATTTCCAGAGGCCACCCTGGTTAGCGGGAGGGGTTGCCTAAAAATGGCTGTGAATGCTTTAAATATCATATTTGGGAAGTGAAAGGCTCTTGCTCTGTCTGCGACTCTGAAAGGGGCCACTGGTTGTCCTCTCCCTCTCTGTAGGGCAGTGCAGCAGCAGCTCATGCTGTTTCCAAGCCTTTACAAAGCCAAAATCTGTACAAACCTCTCACTGCTGAGCCAGACAGGGATCACGGAATCACAGAATATCCTGAGTTAGAAGGGACACACAAGGATCATAGAATGATAGAATGGTTTGGGTTGGAAGGGACTATCAAGATCATCTTGTTTAATCCCCCCGCCATGGGACACCTTCCACTAGACCAGGTTGCTCCAAGCCCCATCCAACCAGGCCTTCAACACTTCCAGGGATGGGGCAGCCACAGCTCCTCTGAGAAAACTGTTCCAGTGCCTCCCCACCCTCACAGGGGAGAATTTCTCGCCAGTATCAAACGTCAACCTGCCCTCTGTGAGTTTGAAGCCATTGTCCCCAGTCCTCTCACTACATGCTCTTGTAAATAGTATCTCCATCTTTCTTGTCACCTTAACCTCTGGTCCAGTCAGTGAAGAAACCTGCCTTTCCCAGTTGGAAGCAGGAGCCAGCAGTGCCTCCATAGCAACAAGATCATCAGGAGAAAGGGTTGGCTCTGAAATCCAGACCCTATTGGCAACGCCAGCACCTGGGATTCAGCCCAAGGCTTCTGCCCTCCCCAAACTCAGTTTTTCTTACTGACCACAAAGGTGCTCCTGTGTAAGGGTGTGGTGAGCACAGAACACCTCCCTCCCTCACTGCCCCTCCCTGGGAAAAGGACCATAAAAGCCAACACACTTTAACTGAGCCGACCCGTTAATGGGATGCCGTGTTACGGGTGTTTGGCCTCAGAATTGATCTCCCCTCAGTGCAGTCCCATCTGGAAGGTTTCACCACAAGGAGCATAAACATATTTTTTTTCTCCTCCAGCTAAAATCCTTGCTGAAGCAGGAATCTTTACTCAGAGGACGAGTGGAGAGGCAAAACCCCCTCCACACTCAGATCTTTGGCTCAGCAGGTGTTGGACCTGTCAGGGAGGGAATGTGCAATGGACAGCTGAGTGGCTGCTGCATTTCAGCAGAGATCCATCTTCTGCATTTCAATAAAAAAAAAAAAAATTCCCAAGGGGGACATATAACCATAGGCTACAGCCTGCAGAAGTGATATTAAATGCATGAAAAAACAGATTATTCCAGTGTTGGAGTTCACGTTCCTATGGCACAGAGTCAAATTTGTCCATATTCCCATGGCTGTTGTCACAGTGAATATCTAGGTAGCCTGGCTATTTCTAGAATTTTGTCCCATTCTTTGGCTCCAACTTGGAGTAAATGCCACCTCCCTTTCCCTTTCCTTTCAGTCCTGTGCTTGGTGGATGTGTCTGGCAGAGTAAAGCTTGGGGACAGCAGGTGACCTTGGGCTGTCCCTTGTCTGCATTTCTCAAGGACAAACCAAAGGACAAAAATATCATTGTCTTTGTGTGTGTGACCCTGGCAGAGGCAGTTTTTCAGCCCAAGAAACTCACAGAAAGAACTTAGGTCCAAATGGTCCTTCTGCCTTGGTTTCCTCAAGCAGGTGTTAGAGGTGACAAAGAAGGGGATTATGAAGAGCTGTGAACCCCCATCACAGCTCCTGCACCTTCACAAAGCCCTGATAACTTTTTTTACCTCCTTGCTGAGCATTTCCCATCCCACTCTGGCACCCACTGGAGCAGGCTTGGATCAGAAACACAACCTGAGACAGACCCTCACAGCCTAAATCAAAACCAGGCAAGGACGAAATTTGAGGTTACACCTGGCACCTGCTCTGTCCAAGGGGTTTAGGCATCCAGTTTGCCCTGGTGCCAGTGAATTTTGGAACCTGCAAGCCATGGAATCATTAAGGTTGGAAAAAATCTCTGGGATCATCAAGTCCAACCTTTGTCCTAAGACTACCACGGTGAGCTCTTTGATGGTGGACATCATCTTCCTGCAGTAATGATAAGTCAAGAAGATCCAGGCCTGAAGCTGGAGTTTTCCACTGCTCTGCTTGAATTCTGCACAACTTTGTGTGGCCCAAGCACACTCCACACCCATCCTGGGGATTCAGGTAGCATGGAATGTGTGAGCAGGGAACAGGGTTTGCCCTGATCTTGCCTAAAACTGCTTTCACCCTCTGCCTGAATTGTCCCAGATGCCAATTCACCCTGTCCCACCAAGACTTTCCAGATGGACCCCTCCAAACCACTGTCTCCAGCTGTGCCCAGCACAGGGATTTCAGCTCTGCCTGAGCAGGAGGAGCCCGGGGGCTCCCAGAAGTGCTGGAATATGCCCTGTCTGTGCCCTGCTCTGCAGAACCTGTGCATCACACACATTCCTCCCACAGGGGAAGGGCAACGACCGCGGCTGAGCATCCACCACCTCCCTTGGTCGTGCTCCTTGGAGCAGCAGCCTGGATGTGGCCAATGGAGGGCACTCTTAGACATACACACAACCACTCGATGAGAAAAAAAAAAAAAGAAGGAAAAAGATCAAAATGACTGCAGAAAGGACATCCTTTCCTACTGCTGCCTGTGG